GTAGAAACACTCACAAACTCCAGATCACGAGACTCGGGCGAAGCTGAAGTGGTAAGACCTTCTGAAACTAAGAATCCTACTCAGAAACTGACCATGTTGTTTTCCAGTGCACGAGGTACCTCAACATGCGGACTCTTATCCAGAACGCCCGTATGATCACCACAGACACCAAGGGACCACGAGAACTGTGCTGTTTGGCAGTCAATGACCACACTATTCAACACATTGGCCACCTTGACGATGCTTCCATCCAGAACTTCTTACGCCATGGAGAAGAAGTTCAGATAGTTGACCTTCAAGGGCGCGGTATCATGCCTTCGTTCATCGATGGGCATACCCACCTACTCCAATTCGGGATTTCCCTGTCCAAAGTTTCTCTGGGAAATTGTGCCAACCTGGAGGAGATTCGACAGGTTATTCAATCAACTGCACAAGAGGAACCAGATGCGCAACGCTTGATGTTTCAGGCCTGGAAGCAATCGGCCACTGGAAGTCTCGTCAGTAGCGAAATGCTGAACGATCTTAGCGAACGTCCGATTTATATTGAGTCGCATGACTTACATGCCGTGTGGTGTAACGCGGCCGCTGTGAGAGAATTGGAGATCCCCGACGAGGACATACCTGGCGGTCGAGTTCATCGCACTGCTGATCACTTGCCAACCGGCTTGTTCGAAGATGCTGCTGTCCTTGGCATTATTTGGCCGTTTTTGACACAATGCTTGACACACGAAGAGAAGTTGGACCGACTCCGAGAAGCCATAGAAACATACAATCGCGCTGGTTATACTTCGGCCATTGACATGGCGGTCGACGAAGATTACTGGAATTTACTACGAGAGCTTTATGAGAAGGGAGAGCTCAACCTTCGCTTGGCCGTCCACTTTTTGGTCTCACCGACGGGCTCGACAGAGTCTGATGTAGAGCAAGTGAGACATGTCAGTCAGCTTCACGAAGCGTACAACATCTTGACGTCTCCAGATTTTCGGGTTGCGGGTATCAAGCTCATGTGCGACGGCGTCATTGATTCATGCACAGCTGCTATTTCTGAACCGTATAAGTCGACTGGACAGTCCGTACAGCCCTACTGGACCGCAGAAGCTCTGAGCGAGGTCCTGACCGCGGCAGATGATGGCATGCTGCAAGTCGCAATGCATGCCATTGGAGATGAGGCGGTGACTATGGCAATCAACGGCTTGGAGGCGCTGGGTACGACGGGGAAACGGCATCGCATCGAACACTTGGAAGTCACCAAGCCCGAAGATGCCAAGCGACTTGGGCGCTTGGGCATCACTGCCTCTATACAGCCCGTTCATTGCGATCCCATCCAGAACATCGACTGGACACCGCTCATCGGACAAAAACTATGCGGTCGAGCCTTTGCATATCGAGAGTTCGCGGACCACGGGGCTCGGATCGCTATTGGTAGCGATGCGCCTACAGCTCCTCACTCGCCGTGGAATAATCTCTTCAACGCAACAACTCGCAAATCTTATAATAGGCCGTATGAAGAGGAAACGATGAATGCGGAATTCAAGCTCACGCTCGTCCAAGCATTGGCGGCTACCAACATCGGCGCCGCCTACTCTTGCTTTGCGGAGGACATGGTCGGAAGCCTTGAAGTGGGAAAACGAGCTGATTTCATCGTCCTTGATCCGATAGGTGACTGGAAGGGGGAACCATTGTCACTTTTATCATGTAATGTAACGAGCACTTGGCTGGGCGGGCGGAAGGCTTGGTCCAAAGACTAAGGTAGGAGATAGGAAAGGATGAATCCTGCAGCCCGAGAGCCCATTTATCGCGTCGATGCCCCAGCTAGCAGATCTGTAATGGGCACTGTTACCTTCCTTAAGAGATCAACATTTTCTTGTGCGATGAACCATTTGTAGATAGCCTAGTAGTATAGATGGAGTCAAATCCCCTTGCGTGCGATTGCTGTGATTACAGAATCGATGTGGTCATATATACCGCTAGACATGCAGGAATCATTCGTGTCGGTGACCTATGCTGACCACGTGCAGTGCGACCTTCTTGATTTGGAATGATGCATTCTTTATCAACACCCTTCCGAAGGATCTAGTTAATATTTGTAGCCAATTAAGTGCCCCAATTGGCGTTGCTGCCTAAAGTGGTGTCGTCAAACACAGACTTTTGAGATGCCGAATCTTATGGCCATAGAACTTAAGTATTAATGGACTTCCCAATGCTTCTGTAAATGGGTAAGACATAGTCAAGCCCATTACCTGCAAAGATGGAGGTCGAGGTTTTTGACGTGATCATCGTCGGCGGTGGCACAGCCGGATGCGTGCTTGCCTCCCGGCTCTCCGTTCGGCAAGACCTAAAAGTCCTCCTACTGGAGGCTGGAAGCAACAACATCAACGAAGAAAAGGTCACGACACCCTTGCTGAGTCGAAGAATGTTTGGAGATCCGAAGTATGATTGGTGTTCAGAATCCTCACCGCAGAGTGGCATGAACGGACGTGTCTTCCAGCATACAAGAGGCAAGATGCTTGGAGGAAGCAGTGGAATCAACTCCCACAGTCTAGTGTTCCCAAACAAAGCTATGCATGAGGCATGGGCCGAAATATCGGGAGATGAGCGATGGAGCTGGGAGAAGATCAAAGACTACTACCGCGCATTCCATACAGAGCAGGTTCAAGGCATGTCAAAACAGGACCGTCAAAGCCAAGGGCCTATTCAAGCATCTTATCCAAAAGAGCTGAATGCTTTACAGAATGCCTGGGAAGAGGTATTTGACGACTTAGGCGCAAAATCTGACCATGATGGCCCATCTGGCGAAGCGCTTGGGGGTTTCACAACCACCAATGCAATCGATAGCCGCCCTGGCCAAGGCGTGAGAAGCTTCGCAGGGAACGCTTACCTCCAACCGACTTTGGACCGAAAGAATCTTGTTGTCATCTCCGGAGCAGAGGTCGAGAGGATCGTGTTTGAAGGCGATTCTAACACCGATGAAGGAAAGTTATGTGCGATTGGCGTAATCTATGAGAAGGCGCACAAATCATCGCTAGTCAGAGCAAACAAGGAAGTCATCATCTGCGCAGGCGCCCTGGGCAGCCCCAAGATTCTTGAGCAGTCCGGAATCGGTAATCAACAGATTTTGGAGCCTTTGGGTATTCAATGTTTGGTGAACTTGCCTGGCGTTGGGGGTAAGTGCATACATACACTGACAGGGTGCATACAATGTTCTGTTGTCACTCATGCTGACTGCAGCATCCCAGAAAATCTTCAAGACCATCTTAACTTTGGACCAAGCGTCGAGGTGAAGCCCGAAATTGAAACGATCGACATCAACTTCAGAGACCCCAAAGTTCCTGCAGCCCATCGCGCAGAGTATGACGAGAAAAGAACTGGACCTCTCGCGGAAGGGGCGGCGTACAGTTTCGCTCATTGGCCTCTGCAGCTCTTCAACTCGCAAAACGAAGAGAAGGAGTTAAGGGAGCTTCTCCAACGTTCACCTCACGTCGGCAATGAAGCTACCAAGATACATCACGAATTCATCAATCGGATGATCCTCGACGACCATGAGGCGAGCGCAACCGTATTCATGATACGGGTGCAAAGATACACCAGCCGCGCCAGCCCTGCCCCAGGTAACTACATGACCATAGTAGCTATGCTGGCTCACCCCTACAGTCGAGGATCCTGTCACGTCGAGACTGCGGATTGGCATGATCAGCCGAAAATAGACTGCTCTTATCTCTCGAATTCCCTCGACATTGAAATCCTCGCGCGTCATGTTCAGCAAATTGACAAATTGTTGGCTAGGGACGCGCTCAGTGGCTTATTGAGAACGAATGGCAACCGTCTCCCAACAGCAGTGGCACCTCAGAATTTGGCAGAGATCAAGGAGAACATTCGAAGTTTCGGTGCTACAAATTACCACCTCTGTGGCACATGCGCAATGATGAGGGAAGAATTTGAAGGCGGCGTTGTAGATGGGGAGCTTCTCTTACGTGGCACAACGAACGTTCGTGTGTGCGATGCTAGTATTTTCCCGATCATACCGCGAGGGAACATACTAAGCACAGTCTATGCAGTGGCAGAGAAAGCGGCGGCATTCCTTTTAGAAACTTACAGCTCCAAAAGCTGATAGCTACATTCTATTAAACTAGTTACTTAGTATAGAGGAATTACTCTATCTAAATATAGAAGTCTTCGTGACTGTTACTGGCCCTAAATATTTTTGATCATTTGCCTCTTCTATTTTATTTTTGATAATTTAAGACCATTATAAAGAATTCTAAGTTCTTTTTGAATGACAACTCTTTAATAGATTAATTTCAATATCTTCTAGTATTTTCATATAAATTAATATTATTTTATTGCTATTTACTCTATTTAGAAAGCTAGTAAGAGTAAAAGTCTTAAATTAAACTTGATTTACTTCATTAGAGTCGTGATTTACATAGTATCTAAGAGTTTAGTTGAGAAAGAATTATTATTATGATATAGTAAGTACTTGTCTGGGCGGGCGAAAGATTTAGTCAAAGTACTAACATACAGAAAAGTTGGCTTGCCATCCCGAAGCCCTTTTGTTTACTTATGAAGTGGAACGAAAACATTTGATTGATAAAGCAGCTAACAAAATAATTACCGACGCTGAAGACTGGGCGGGAATGAGACGCGTCCAACATGGCTATTCTCGAGGCGGCATTCGTCAGCCTCACTACCAGTGATTTCTCGGGATAGTTATAGAGCGGAAATATCAAGCTAAGCGGTACTTGGGGATGTCATCTGACGTTTTCCTATGTGTCACGCCATACCAAAGAGCGTCCATTCCCCATTTGGAGCCTTGAAGTGAATTTACAACTTCTGACCTACTCTGTTGGACGAAGGGATAGGTAGTCATGGCTCATCTCTGCGACCGATGCTTGGATATTACCGATGACGTAGGATTGGTGCTTAGCGACCTAGACTAGCGATGCGTTTCATTCAGGACTTGAAGGTTCTAGAACTTGTCGGACAATTTTGACAGTTAATATTCATATTCTAGCCTCTCGAATAGCCAACGCAAATGACCCCGCCGCCCCTGGCCCTAAGACTACAGTCGCCACAGTGAGATAAATCAGTTCCTGAGACTCGTTCGGAGACACCGTCCCTTCCGCTCTCATTTTTTCAATCTTTTCAACCCCATCCTTTCGCGAGAGAAGTAGATGCGCAAACACAATAGTGGTGAGACATAGGACTATCCAATCCCACTGCGAGAACAGGTGAAGATTCTCCAGCAGCGCAGTGTACTCGACAGATGTAACCTCATTTTTGATCAAGGACTCGTATGGGTCTTCAAAGCCTCGAGCCGGAAGGAACAGCCTCAGGATCGATGCGTCGATATCTTGTGTGAGTAGCGAGCCGACCGAGGTATAGAAGTGCACGGCTGAAGCGACGATACCGGCAAGTATGAGGGATGCGACTACCCACTTCCTTGCCTCTTTCACAGATGACTGCGTTGTGCCTGTAAATTTGCGAGGGAAAATTGACACAAGGCTGAGATGGAACGCCATGGCAAATACGGGGGCCACCTGGAAGAGTGCAATGCATCCATGGTGCAGGCTACTGCCCCCATTTCCACTCCACGCGGGTGCAAACACGAGAAGCGGTTGAAGCAAGATGACTAGTGTCGTCAGCGGGAATGCCGCCGCTTCGTGCCAGGGCATCGAGGCATCGCGGACGCGGGCTGTGCTGCTGCAGACTGCGTATAGATATAGCGGTAGGATGATCGCGGCGCCGTTGGCGTTGCAGAGCACCAAGACCCAAGCCGGATATTTCAAAAGCAGGGAGCGAACGCTTCGACGCCTCGATTCAATGAGAACCCAGAGATTCGCGCATGCAACGGCGTAATTGATGTCGAAAAAAAGGAGGCGCGGGCCGGATGTGCGGGCGTTTGTGAGCACATCGTAAAAGGCGGAGAGGAGTGTGAGCTGGGCGTCTACGGCGGCCAGTCCTGTGTATGAGGAGCGGAGGGGACGGTCATCTGGGAAGCGCAGGGTGCTAGTAACTGTTTCAAGGCGTGCAAACATGCCGTTGAATAATGCGAAGCCCCAGAGACCCCATACTCCTAGAGCACTTAGATAGAGAAGTTGTGTCTTTGAGGTTTGAAACATGACAACGCAGGCAAGACAGTTTATTCACAAGAGGCGTTGGTAAGTGCTAAGTGTGAATTCTTGTGCTAGAGTAAATGACTCAGGAGACGCGAAATCGAGGCAGGTATTATGATCTTGTCTGTCTGTACATACCCGACCGGGCCTTATGGTGACTGCCGGCCAGCATGGGGGTGACTTAACCCGCCCCGGTAGTGTCGGGTGTCAGCCGCCAAGAAACGGGACAAAACGGCCGCTCTCTCATCATTGGCTGCGTTTCTCGGCCCCGATCTTTTGATCGGTTGAGCGGGGACAAGGCCGATGGGCCCGCTCGAAGGTCGATTCCGCCGAGTCCGGCCACATTGATTTTCGTCAGTGATGATGACATGCCGCAAGTATTACCAAAATCCAAGATTGTATGCATTGCATTCAAATGAAAAAACTTAACATCATCTTCGGCGCAAACATTTCATTTTCGTTGCTATTGATCAAGACATCATCATTTTTACTTGCCGATATTGAATACACCATGACAGACGGCTCTACCTCCTTCAAAGTGATTATTGTTGGCGCGGGCGTCACGGGTCTCACATTGGCCCACTGCCTCGTCAAGGCGAACATCGACTTTGTCTTATTGGATAAAGGCATAGTAGCTCCGAGTTTCGGAACGACCATCACACTTCAGCCGCACGGGTGCAGAATCTTGCACCAGTTGGGCTGTCTAGATGCCGTGATGGCCACGTGCGATGTCATGGGCGGAGCGCAGTGTCGCGACCCTTCTGGCAGAACCTTTGCTTCGAATGACTTTTTCGGTGTCGTCAGGAAATTGTCAGTTCTATGTTGCCATCGTCTCGCGAGTCGCTAGGTATCCGATGACGCGGAAGACAAACTGGCTATAGTAAGACATGCTGATTTCGGGATATAGCGCCGGCTATGATACTAGGACCCTGGATCGGCAGGTTTTCTTACGCAAATTGTATGAAAGGCTGCCAGATCATTCCAAAGTACACGAGAAAGCACGCGTTCAGGAGATTACTGAAGAAAGCTCCAAGACTCGCGTCATCCTAGCAGATGGGCGTGAATTCGTTGGGGACGTAGTGGTTGGTGCAGACGGTGTTCATTCCAAGGTTCGCGAAATCATGTGGGACAAGGCAAACGCGGCCAATCCCGGCATGATTACAGTTGAAGAGAAGCGAGGTAGATAAAAGGCTCTTTTTTGACCATCAACAAACCAAAGGCTGCTAACAACTTGCCTACAAAGCAATGGTAACCCAGTATAATGCCATCGTCATGGCATCGTCTCCCGTACCTGGTTTGGGTTCCCACGATATGGAAGTTACCTCAAACGATAAGTTCTCTTTCCTGCTCCTGTGCCAGCCGGAGTGGATATCGATCATTGTACACAACAAGTTGCCCGAGGAACAGCACTGCACCTGGCCCACACGTCGGCGATATACCGAATCTGATATGGAGGCTTTGGTCAGCAAGATCTCTGAGTACCCTGTCACGGAGACCGTTGTTTTTGGAGAGTTGTGGAAGAGGCGCCTCAAGGCACAAATGATTTCCCTGGAGGAAGGCGTACTGGAGAATTGGTTCTTTGGGAGGATTGTCTTGGCTGGAGATGCTGTCCATAAGGTAAGATTGCAATCTCTATGCATCATTGTGTGTCTTTCGTACTCGGGGCTGATACGTCATGTTCTCATGACAAAGGTTACTCCAAACTCGGCTCTGGGTGGCAATACAGCGATGGAAGACGCTGTCACACTCGCAAACGCAATCCACGCCCTTCTCGGCACGCATTCCAATAAAAACCCGAGTGATGTTGAGCTGCGCGATGCGATGCGGGACAAGTATCAAAACGCTCGTGTCGACCGTGCTCGGGTTATTGTGAAGGTCGGGGGTGATCTCACGAGGCAACAGGCTTATGACGGTTGGAAGGCCTACTTCGTGCAGCGGTGGCTGACGCCCATCGTGGGCCTTGACACTCTTGCAAAGAATATTGCTGGATTGTGTGTTACGGCGCCAAAGCTTACTTATGTGGACTTTGATGAGAAGAGGGGGATTCTAGGGTGGCAGGATACACTGTCTGCTGTAAAGGAGAGGGAAGCTCGAGAAGATGATGAAAGACTCAACAGTGGACCTTCGTGGGGTGACTTGAACGGGGGCTTTGAGTCTGTCTTCCCGCAGGTGCTAGCAGTTTTAGTTGCTTTGTGGTTGACTATTTGTGTCTTTCATATTGTCTTCTCCAGACAGTCGATACCTGGTTTTGGTAGGGAAATTTGGCAAATCGATGGAATGGAGAATGGCACTTTCGGACTTGCAGCATGATATAACCGAGGCCAGTTCTAGACTCTTGTAAGCATAGTCAGAAGTTGTTTAGTTCCAGGAAGCAGCTTTTGGATTATCACGAGTTGATGATAGCATGATTTTGCAGCCGTTACATCCATATTATAACCGAAAGTGAGATCACTTGCTTGTATTCCCAGTTCCAGTAAGTGATGCTGATTTTATGACTTTACTAAATCCAGGAGTCAGTTCCCAAGCAGTATGTATAGAAGGCTTAGGTACTTAGATTATAGAGCTCACATGTAGGGAGCCCGGCATTGAACGTATGCACGGCGTTGATATAAGTGATGATGGTTTACATGTTGCATTTGCATGTATCTTCATTTTGTATCTTACACACAAAGAGACCTTCCTCCAAGAGCTTGGGACCGTCGGCCATCCTGCGTGATGATCCCTGGACTTTCAGAACTTCATCGCCTTTCCTAGGCGGCAAGCATTGTGATATGACTCTTTCCAAGCGCAACGTGGTTTTGACTTCATCCTACGCCGCTACCAGCGCTTCTGCCTTTTTGCCACCGCCGAACTTAGCTTTCTGCCGAATTTGTTAATATATATTGCGATTCCAACTGGGCCTTCTTGACTTACGAGCAGCGGAACGGAGCACACCACACTCAAAGCGGCAGCAGCCAAGAAAAAGGCCCAAATACTTGTCATGGCGCTTGCAATTTCGGGAATAACAAGGGCCTTCTCTGCGTCTGTGAGCGCCTGGAATGCTCTGCTGCTAGACCCCGCGATGAGGTTACCAATCTCTGCAGGAGAAACGTCTGGGAGCGCCCTCCCGACCTTGTCTACCGCCACGTTGTGGAAGAGACTGCCGCTGATGGCTAAAAAGAGAACCATACCGAGATCTTGTGCTGAAATGTGGCGGTATGTGTTAGCTGTATGTATGGTGGAGGAAGCAGAGGTCTGGAACGTACAGATCGTCATGGCTCCCACGGCATTGGCGATTTCGTGGGCCGGGACCAATGATTGAACGATGGCGAACCCGGCTACGATGTAGCAACCGGCGCCGGTACCGACGAGTATATTGTAGCCGTAGATTTTTGAATTCGATGTAGTCTCGTTTACAGTGTCTGTGAGGGATGTAAGGTACAAGACCAACCTCAAAAATTTGACTGCACTAAGCAGTCCATTGTGGAATACGGAGTTGAAAGAGGACTTACACATGAGAGCGGCTCCAATCAGCGCGAGACAGCTTCCTCCAATGTACCAGACAGGAATCAGTCCATATCTCGGCATCAAGAAGCCGTTGGCCATGGATGCAACGACCATGAACATGATCAACGGAAGTAGACGAACACCGGCCTGGAGAGCCCCATCGTCCTGACAGATCCCAATTCAGCGTAAGTTTCGGGAGAGACAAGTTCATGTCTGGTATCATACCTTGACAAACTGAAAGTAGAGCGGGATATAGTATGTCATAGCCTGAGACATGTCAGCATCATGCCCAGTATGCATGCCCAGCGTAGGTAACCTACCAAGATAATGCCAGACGCCAAGAAGACTTGAAGCTGCATGTTGATCAAGGTAGGCTTTTCAAAGAAGTGCAGTGGGTATAAACGATTCTGTTTGGTCACCAACGGGTGCAACTTGAGCATGACGATGAAGGCCACCAGTAAGACACCTGTTACGGTCCACAGGGCGATGACGGTTCCGGAATTGAAAGCGTAGACGACACCACCGAATGTGAGTACGACTGCCAGACAGACAGATCCGGCGAGAAAGATAATGGCGTTGACCCAGTCGACCAGACGAAATTTCTGTGAGAGGTTCTTGGAGGGGTGAGGGTCGACACTTGGAAAGAGAAGGAAGTAGGCTGGAGCGAATGCAGCGCCGACAGGCAGGTTAATGTAAAATCCCTGAATGTTGGTCAGTACGCATGTTTTACCGTCCCAGCAGGTGATCAAGATGATTTTCTTTCTTACCCATCTCCAGGAGGCACTGCTCGCTGCAAAGGCACCGCCAACCTAGGAAAGACAACAGAGGTCAGCAATTGCTTGTTAAGGCAGTGACGGGCTTCGCATGCTTACCACAGGACCGAGAACGCTACCGACGCCCCAAATGACGGTACTTCCAGCAAGGTATGCAGGCTTCTCCTGTTCGTTGGACAGGACCGAGACATAGGTTAGAGTACCCGAGTACATGCCTGAGCCACCGACACCGGCGATGACACGACCAATGATGAGGGCCTCGATATTAGGCGCAGCGCCGCAGAGCGCGCTGCCTGCCTCAAACAGAAAGATATTGAAGATGTAGACCCACTTGATGTTGAAGACTCCGTAGACCTTACCCCAGAGCAGGATGAACATGGTACCCAGGGCGAAGCCAGTGCCGATCCATGACAGAAGCTCGAGGTGACCAAAGTCGTTGATGATGGCTGGCTGGATGTTGGCGACGATTGTGTTGTCGAGAGCAAACAGAAGAGTCGTGGAGAGCATGGCAGCGTAGGCAATGGCCCACTGGGCGAGTAAAAGCCGCACATGTTAGCCTGAGTGCAAGCACAGGGTCGGTATCCCAGTTGTGATTGTCGTGGGGCCTTGCTCACCTTCCATCCATGAAGGTTACGAGGACTGGTCTTAGGGTTAGGGTTAGGGTTAGGGTTAGGGTTAGTTGTATCAATGAGGGCAGCGTTGAGTTGCAGAAAAATGAGAAAACACAAGTGTGCCGACGCGCAGTCCGCAAGGAAGACTGATCACGTTTCGCCTGTGTTGTGGCTCATCAGGGCAGAGCTGAGTGCGGACGAGATGCGCCTACTTATGCTTCATCAGAATGGGAAGAGGGGAAAGACCTCTTCCATTCTTTGTTAGGCAGCAATGTTGTTCGGCGCGTATTTCGATCCTCCCATTGGCTTTGTTGGTTCGCGTTCATATGCAGGACTCGCGTCCCTCGTACGATCGGGATGCCATTCTCGGTATATCGGATTAACTTCTCAGTCCGTCCGACGGAAAATCCCCCGCTCAACGGGGAGACCGGAAAATTGTTTTTCCATACCGGATAGGGGTAGGGTTAGTGGTTTGCGGTTCGAACGCATGGACCAAAAACCAGAGGAAATTGTTCAAGTGGAATCTTGAGAACTCTTCTGCGACGCTCTCCTACAAGGCAGCGTTTGCGAAAATCAAAGAACAGAGGCGGGACCGACGCTTGGTGACTGACAGAACTTGGGCTTCTTCCGAGTCTTAAATGGTGCCAACCATAAGCACGGACTTCGAGGTCCGGTCATGACTTCATGCACCAGTCGTGTCAACACGTGTTCTTATCCCATGCAGGGACGCTGCGACCAGGTCAACCAACCAAAAGGTCGGGCAACCGGACTTTCGGGCTTTTCGACAAGGCCGGGAGGAACTTACGCGTGCCCCCACACACAATCCGCTTTGCAGCGGCGTCCTTTGCCAAGGCTACTGGGCGAGAAAGAACCGGAGAGCATTACGACTCCACACCCCTGCGGAGAACCGCCTCGCGGCGGGGCCCTTCACCTGGAGGTGGCATCGCTGGTCCGGAGAGAGAAGAAGAGAGCAAGACTGTCTTGTTCCAAGTCGAAAGTAAATCAAACAGACTTGTAGTTCGACCGAGACTTCGGATAAGCGGTTCTTGCAGGCTTTCAGGCAGTTCTTCCTGAATCCAGAACTTTCGTGCTTCCGAAATAATCTCCTTGACCTCCACAAAGTCCCACACTGGATTGTAATGGCCCGGAAGCATTAGTGGCGCACGGTCTTTCTTTTCTTTGATGAGAAGGAAGACGGGCCGACTTCCGTATTGCACTTGTTGAAACCATTGATTCAGTGTCTCCGCAGGATATCCCCTCCTACGGAGATTGCCATATAATTCTTGACGGGCTTCTGCAAAGAACCCCTCTTTAGAACAGATCATGGCAAATCGTGTGAGCTCGGCTTTGACGAAGCCTTTCTTCACGTGAAGAGGGTGAGCTGACGACCAGGGAATGTAGAGGTGTCGATTCAATTTTTTACGGAAGAGCCGCGTGTGGACCACACGTGGGGCCGTGCCTGGCTCCCGGAGCAACTCAATGTCCAGGAACTCATTCCGTTGTGGTTGAATCGACCAGGTGATCTGGAGAGGTCCGATTGACAGACTTTCACAGAATTCTTTCACCTCTTCTCTCGTACCTTGGAACAAACTTAGGATGTCATCGATGTATCGAACATAGAGTAAAACTCCTTTCTTCGAAGTGACACGAGCTTTTCTTTCAAAGTACCCAGCATAGATGTTGGCTAAAACTGGGGCGCATGCGGTCCCCATTGCCAGGCCATTTATCTGGTGAAAGGTTTGTTCTCGATACGAGAGGTAGTTGTTATCCATGATAAACCGCGACATCTTGCCTATAGATGATGCCGGGATGGATGACCCTGAACAGTGTTCCTTCCACATGCCGGTAATAATTTTGGCACAGTCATGTGGGGGGATGTTGGAATACATGGCGGTCATATCGCCCGTAAGTATCCACACCGGTTGTTCTGTTGGGGCGCGCGCTGCTTCGAGTTGATTGATGACCTCTTTTGAGGATGCAACAATCCATGGCATGTGCTCGAGGAGCGGTTGACAAAGATGATCTAGTACACTCGACGTGGTAGATGTCACCCATGAATGAGAGGGGACAATGGGCCGTAGAGTCCATGGGGTCTTGTGGACCTTTGGAATCGCATGGAACTCAGGCACGTCCATGTGGGTCCTTCGTCGGATGTATTTATCCATTGCAGGAGGCAGTCGCCAGGACGACAGCTGATCAAAGAGTTTGTCTTTCAGTTTTTCGATGGGGATTTCTGTCACGTGACGGTAGGTCTTGTGATCAGAAAGCATCACTAAAACGTTCGCATCATACCACTCAATAGGAAACACCGCGAGTCCCAGATTTTTATCTGTGAGTTTCGCTAGCAGTCTGTTGTCCGCTAGGAATTCTTGAGCTCTCGTCCATCCTGTGAAGGGATGGACAGCGGGCCGCGTGGCCATGGTCGCAAGCGCCCGACTAACTTGAGTGTCGATCACTTCCATGGCTGCGTCTAGTCCTTGCTCTATTGGCTCTGATGCCAATGGCGGTTTCCAGCGAGTGTTGGGAACATGGAACTTTGGGATAAAGTCCGAACTGAATTTGTCTCGAAAGAACCAGCGGTTGCGTATCGAGCGGCGGAGCGATTCCTTCGCTTCCTCAATGTCATGTTCTAGTGGATTCTGATGTAGAATGAACTTGTGATTTACGGCTAGCATGTATTCGATGCCCTCTGGGAGAGAAACATCGGCATGCTTGAATACACCGGGGGAAGCGGCCCGAACAGTGTCAACTTCCCAGGTTCGCATAAGAGCAAAGCCAATCTTCGTTCGTGTATCTAATGACAAAGAATTATACACTAGGGGATATGTCTCTGGCAACCAGGGACGAAAATCCTTCGAACATTCTGACAGGAAAGACGCTGTTGTCATACTTTGCGTTTCTTGTTCTGACCCTTCTTCTGGGGTGACCCTTTCTTGACTCGAGAGGTGTTCGGCCCTTTCCGTTTTCCATTCGGAGGGGACTTTTTTCCGGTGCCTGATAAGAGTAAGCGGTGAGTCATGGCGTTTGCCGAGTGACGTACCCATTGTCTTGGCTAGACGGGATTCGAGGAGGCGGAGTTGCGCCTGCATCTCGTCGCGGACGACTTCCCTCGTAGAGAGTTCAGTGTCTGCGTCTTTCATGACCGTATCTGTCTCTGTCTTGAGTCGTAAAGACTTCGTTTTCTCGACAAGAGAACGGTCGGCAAGTGAGCGTGCGACAGCGATTGCTCGGTAATGCCAGACATTACCGAGGGACCAAAGCGTTGTGCAGTCTTCAGTGACAGCGGAGCTGACGTCCCCGGTCCAGACGGGGGCGGCATCTCCGTTGGCATTGCCCTGGACGGAAGCTCCAAGGGCGCCGGCTGTGCGGAGAGCTATCTCGAGGACTTTGCTTCTCCATGTGGTGGCATCCCATGCAACACAATCTTGCAGCGCAGCCAGTTCCTCCTTTTTCCTCTTTACCGCGAAGGTAAGGAGATTCTTTCTCGCGGTATGTATCTCGGCGTCACCGAGGCTCTTGGTGAGCGCGCCGTCGGACGTTCCGAGAAATTCTTTCGAAAACTGGATCTTGGGGTCTTTGATCGAGTTGCGGATCGATGCAGGAAAAGACCCTTCGGCGACATGTTTGTCGTACTGTGCAATCGTGTTCTGCACGTTGCAGAGTTTGGTAGCGACGCGATAGATCTTATTGAGGTAATCGCCGAGTACCGGACGCCATGTCTGAGGGATGGTCGAGATCAATTCCGCGATGGTAGTCGCGTTCCTTGTCTGGGCTGATGCAGTTTTGCCGGCTGCAACATCGACCGATCGTACCGAATTGGGTGCCATTCTCAACGAGGGTGGTTAGGGTTAGTTGTATCAATGAGGGCAGCGTTGAGTTGCAGAAAAATGAGAGACGCGCAGTCCTGGGGAAGACTGATCACGTTTCGCCTGTGTTGTGGCTCATCAGGGCAGGCTGAGTGCGGACGAGATGCGCCTACTTGCTTCATCAGAATGGGAAGAGGAAAGACCTCTTCCATTCTTTGTTAGCAGCAATGTTGTTCGGCGCGTATTTCGATCCTCCCATTGGCTGTTGGTTCGCGTTCATATACGGACTCGCGTCCCTCGTACGATCGGGATGCCATTCTCGGTATATCGGATTAACTTCTCAGTCCGTCCGACGGAAAATCCCCGCTCAACAGGGAGACCGGAAAATTGTTTTCCATACCGGATAGGGTAGGGTTAGTGGTTTGCAGTTTAGGGTTGGGAGTTAGGGTTAGGTAGGGGTTAGGGTTGAGGTTAGGAGTTGGACCAACAAGGTTGACAAAAGTTGGGAGGGAAGATGAGAACGGACTTTGAAAGATAAAGTGTTGAAAATAGGCAAAAGATGCCGAGAGAGAGCAAGCAACCAGAATGAATGACAGATTCCGTGTCCGCCGTTTGTCCACCACCCCGGATGGCTCCTCAACCCCAGGATTACAAATCGTCATCCATCTTTCCAACGTGGGTTTGTGTGTGTGAGTGCCCCGATAAGGCTCAGGAACTGTTGTTGATAACCAAGCCAAGAAGCGCCCGACTCGCCCGGTGGCTCTCCGCGGTGAGTGAGTGGGTAGGAGGGTACGTATCCATAGGTCAGTAGTCCGTATTGGCGGGTGCGGACTTCCCAGACAGTGAACCACAAAAACGAGGAAAAGAATGTGGCGGCCAAGCGAGTTCGGACTATCACCGATGCTTTAGTGGTTGACCTTTGGCGTCTGGGAGGCTTGGGACAGGGTCTTGGCTAGCGAGCCGGGTCGACCCCGGCCATCCACGCGCGGCAAACTGCCATTTCTCGATCTCCCGAAACTCTACGTCTGAAAGTTCACGTTTGCCTCAACGTCGGCTCGTTTAACTCGTGTACTATGTATGGCGCACATGT